AGAAGCCTGAAGAAGAGTGCCTCCCAACATAACAGGTAGATAGACGAGTAGTGTCTGTTTACCTTAGGAACGTGTCTAACAGCGAGACTGCTACGACCACATAGATTCTTGATAATCCACAAACCTAATGGTACTTTGAGAGGATTACTCTTAAGATCAAAAAGCCAAGTGAAAGAAGACAGAACGATGTCGTTTACATCAACTGCAAAAATGTGACAAACACTACACCGGACAAACTGGTGGACCGTTTTCAACTTGGATCATGGAACACAAAATGGACCGAGAGGCATGACCCACATTCCCTTGGTTCCCATGCATGAAGACCCAGAAGGCCAAAACTTCGACGTAGAGGACGTAAAAGTTCTTGCACATAGAAACTAGAGGCAAGCCAGTGATTTCTCGGAAGCATGGTATCTTACAGCCAATTTAATCGTTGTGTTGGATGCGATGTACATAACACTACGGCAAAATGATCACGGACTTAACCAACCAAACTTAACGAAGCGGTACGTCGGACGATGACGCCAACCGCGGAGGTACGCGTGCAAACGTTACGAGGTACGAATCAGCCGTCAAAAAATCCGAACTTTCAGACGCACACGAATACCCGATGCACACTCACTTGCGCTACGCATCGCGCCGCTCCGCCACGTAATAGCGCTTTGGTGGTGTCACCTCGAATGGTGATGAAACCTTCGCGGCTAAACTGCCGATCTAAGCGAACACTCCTACCGCCATCTGAACAATCTGGGCCACCAATATTTGCTTATATGTCTGTCACAAGAATGCCATTGTATGTCTTACGGGAGCCGAGAGGACGGAGAGCTTCGATAAATCAAATTTAATCCACATACTGTGTTTTAGTATTTTTGTTGGCCAATTTTTTTTTCAAAATGCAACCTGACACTGCCTCGTGTATCTCCGTAGTACAACAAGCGATAACTCCAAGTATGGCATCACTAATTGGCGGGACACATTCACTATCACCGTTTCTTACCGAACAGAATGGATTTCACCCGCTCCAAGATTACAACAAGTGGCCTAATCAGTTAGCTTCTTGTTGCGTTGACATTGCTGTCAGTACACTGTATGCGTCCAAATTTTATGGCATCGGATATCGAACCACACCGGGACCAAAGTCGGCTCCGTGTTCAAGTTAAATCAGAATAGGCTCTGTACTCCCGGGTAGGTACATTTCCAGCATTTACCCTAGCAGTAAGAATGGAGAACTAAATGATGTGAATGCATAAAAACAAATAAAGTGTCTAATGCCAAATGTGCACAGTATTGTTCAAGCAAATAATTGCGCATCATAATTATAATTTTCTTCGAGTCAACAAGTGATCGTGGCAACTATGGCAGAATAGAATTGTGGTAAGTTGTAGTGCGAGAAAATGAATAGTGTGCAAAAGATTCAGACTGCGCTTTTGATAGACCGCACGGGTGGTCTAAAATCTAAAAAAGCTGGTACAAGCGTCTGCATGTTTGCTGTAAACGAGGGCCTCTGGACAACACAATCGATTTAGAAATACGTTTTAACTATCCTACAGACAAGGTGTAGCCCTCGAAGTTGCCCTAGAGTACCCGCGGTGTAGTTGGAATGCGGCGCGCAATTTCTATTGGGACTTCGACCATTCCGATCATCAGGACAGTAACCGAGGTGAAACGGTTCTGTTATTGCCCCTCTATGTTTGGTCTTTTTAAGTGGACCAGGGAAAATTACTGACGAACAATAGAGCAGCTGAGGTAGAATGCATGCAGTCACAAATTTAAAAACCAAATCACGAGGTACCGAAAATGTTTTAAGTCGGAGAGTATAAAACAAAAGTCTTAATTTTCAAAACCTTTCGGCTACTAGAGTGTTTTGGGATGAAAAGACCTTCGGATATTTGACGTCTTGGGTATGGGTTGATCACTCACAGCCGTTGAAGTGGCATTCAAAACAGCTTGTAGCTTATCAACTCGAAGAAAGGAAAATGTCAAATCGCAACATTTAGGAGTATTTCGAATGAGAGACAGGGAGGAAGATTACAGCACAAAATCTTCCAGGTCGCTCTGAAGAGTATGTCTCCATAGCAAGATAAATGCATCACCAAACGACAGCTTCAGCATGCAGTAAATTCGGATTGTGCAGGACGTTTTTCGATATATGAAAGAAATAGGTTAGTGAGAAGCGGAGTGTAGAGGAATCTGTTCCGTTAAGCTGGGCGAAATGGGTGAGTTTGTTAAGTTGTAGGTAGACATACTCCTCGGTTATGAAACGGTCGCCCGTAGCGGAGCTGTACGCTAGCGGGCGCGTCCCCAGGTTGCGGATTGGTGAATGCCTTCCTTGTGGAGGTAATTGCGAATAAATCTCGTTTGCTTTTCAGGCGAGATGAATAAGCAGTCGCGGACAATCAGCTGCAGCGTCTTAGAGCGTGGGGATTTCTGGGTTGGTCACCTGGTTCTCCATGTCAAGACCAATGTGACCAGCTATAGGGTCACTGACCACTCACTTCTGTAACCAGAGGTGAGTATATAATGGAGAGCGAATGAACAACCTTGCTGGCCACCGGCTTCTCTGTGGACTGCTACCGAAAACACAAAGAAGGTGAATGAGCCACCTGGATGTCAACCGTCTTTGTTAATCACCCCGCTGCCTAACGGTTTAGGTCTTAAGACCAAAGGCTCGGGGTGGGGTCCCTTAAGTTAACACTCATCCTCGGCCTGCGCAACCGGGAAGCTTAATACCCACACAATAAATGGGACTTTGCTTCCATTCCTTTGACTCACTCTCCTTTTTGTTGTTGCTACTCATGTGTTGTGGCACTCTGCCAAATGTTCATTGGGCAAGTGTATCATTTCCTCGCACGTCGTTGGATTTACAATTTTTCGTCTCGGTTCGACGAGCTCTATCTACAAAAGATATTCTCGACGGAATAATTTCAGCACAGCCTATTTTTTACCGGGATGATGTCGGGACGATACTTTTGTCGACATGCCGCCTGCGGAGAGAAGTCAGCGGGATACTCATATTTCCCGTGGAGCAAACGCCAGCAGAACAAAAACAATTCAAAGGACTACCACAAGGAGAGTAGCAGACAAACGATTTCCTTTCACAGCGTGCCAGAGTTGCTAGGAGATAGCGACGAGGAAGTCCACGCCTATATTCTTAAAGAATGGCAGTACATCCGCGAAACTCTTTATGCTAGTGACGTCCCACTTCAGTCAATTTTAAGGCTACCCGTGTCACCTCACTATAAAGTCAGTGGCTCGAGAATAATAAAACCTGTGGACCAGTCACAACAGATGTCGGTGAACTTAAAGCGTAGCCGGCATAAAATGCGCAACACCACCTTCGAAACTACGCCCAAAAGCGGCGGTTATAGAATCGCAGTCACCCGACGTCATGGAGGAAGCAGCACCAGGTTTTGGAGGTTGCGATGAAAAGGTCATACAGTCGCATTCTCCTCATAGGAGACTTTAATGTGTACGACCTGGAAACATCAGCAACCGATGTCGCGCAGTTTAAAGCCTGTTTTCAAGAGCTAAGTTCTAACTATGCTCCCTACAACCACGTCAGTTCTCCCACGAGATTTCGAACTGGTAAAGCAGTCGATAGTTGATTTTGTGCTAAATAAGGAAGAACTCATGACTCCATGGAGTAGTTACAAGCACACCTTTGAGTTCCAGTGACCATGCTACTCTACTGATTAACTATGTATGCCATGCGCCAAGCTTTGGAGCAGAGACACATACAGACGATCAACTATGGTGGTTTTCCTTGACTTGAAAGCCACCTTCGACTATGTTGACCGCGCCAGCTTGTGGCACTGCCTATCCATGAAGGGCATGCCAGTTAGATTCATTTCCATTATGCAATCTCACTACCGTGACTCCCGGGGCCGTGTAAAGGTCCACGGGAAACTGTCTTCCACGACAAGTGGGATTCGCGAAGGTTGTGCTATATCTCCTTTCCCTTTCAACTTTGTGATCGAAATGATCATGAATGACTCCGTTCTTTCAGACTCTACCGGTGTGGAAATTCTGCGAGGTGACCGACTGACAAACCTGGAGTAAGGGGACGACAGTGGCTATGCAAACACTACTGGTTAGACTGACGCGTAGCGCAGCACGCTCCGCCATGTGCTTCGCACTTTTAAAGTACAAAGTACTGTTGCAGAACTGGGTCGACACACTGGAACTGGTAGATCGGTTCACTTACCTTGGTAGCTATGTCATTTCTGGTGGTCGCATCATTGAGAAAGTTACTTCGCGTATCAACAAGGCCCGTGTGGCTTTCCAGAGGTTCAACCATCTATAGGGACAGTGAGATATCAGCCTGTCAGTCTAAGCTAGAGTGTATGACGTTGCGATAAGAAGCGGAATAGAGACCTAGTCAGTTCGCAGTGAAGACATTAAACGCTTGATCGTGTTTGACCACCGGTGCTTGCGGAGTATTGATCACATCCGCTGAGAACATCGGGTGAGCAGTGCTGAGGTCCGAAGGCTTATCAACTTCTTCGACCAGACAGATTTACAAAACTATATACGCCCGCACAAGGGCCTATGGTACATATGTAATTCCTTTCCTGTCGCGCTTTTTGAACGATAAAAATTCAGCCATTTAAGAACTGATCAGTGAAGTACTCTGGCGATGTTTGCTCTGCCAACGTGGTTTTATATTCATCCGCATGTACTATTCCTTTTCATTATTTATCCCATTCCGTGGCGTGTGTGTTAGAGCTGAATATTCACCCTTCAAAGGTGCATAAAGCACATTCTTGACTGATTTAACTTGACGTGGCAACTGGATCCACTGCATTTCCGTGCCGGATTACAGTTGTTTAACTGAACTGAGATACAGCTTTCGATAGTTCGTCCTCGAATCTGGACATAAGTAAACCGTTGACGTTGACCAAATGCTGTGGAATCATGACGCATGTAGGAAATATGTTGCCGCTGTCCCGTTCTCTTTATCAAGCCTAAGTGTCACTGGCGCTCTTCTCTTTTGGTCACAGCGATTCACATCTTCGTGTGACCACGATGACGATGACGGAGACCGTCCAGACGAACAACCACAACTGGTGCTAAATGACTCTAGCGGGGTAACCGAGGACGAAGCCCGTGCCTTCTTGGCTAAAAAAGTGACAAAGCAATCTGCTTCGGAATCGAACAGTATGGAAAAAGCCAACATAATTGAGGAGAAACTCGGTAAGTGGGGGTAACGTTTAACATGGCTTAAATCATGTTAAAATCTAGCGTGTTGAATAATTATTCTCCACATTTTGTTCAAAATGCAGATGTTGCGATGGACCAGGGAAAGAAGATACGTTACCGACCAGAGAGTGAACGCCAACAACGATCTAACCACACGGAGTCTTCCACACACTTCAATACTCGAAAAGCGAGCCGCGCAGACAAAACCGTGCGTGACCGCTCACCTCCGAGCAACCGATCAGACGTGCGAGCTGGCCGCCCACATGGCCTTCTTTCCTTTGATATAGATACAGAAGAGGAAGTGTGATACTGCAAACTATTCGATTTCCGCTATTTGTGTGCCATTTTACGCTAATGGATTTAATCACACAATGTAAAGCTTCCGCTTATCTACGTATTCTGCTAAATAGCGAGCTTAACCGCGTCGACCGCCGAAGCATGGATAGTAACACTGCCAGTAATGCCGGCATCTGTTGTGAGTGACACAAGCATGCGCGGGACTACGGGGTTGACTTAGGGGGGGGGGGGAAGGATGGGGGACGTGTGTGTGAGGTCAGCGAACATCCCCGTACATAATCAGCCTAGGAGAAAATGAAAGGATCAACGTCTTGCGGGAGATGATGCTGTTAGCTAACGAACTGGCACATTTAACTGAAACATTAGTACCTCGGCGTTGCTATTCACTTAGGCTCAACAGAAACTGGCCGTAATTGAGGTGTGCGGCGACGGAACCTTCGGTTCTCACAACGGCGCGATTCAGATGATCAAGAGAACATCCAGGTGAACTTAATCTATGCGTGGTGACGCGAACCCAATACGTGTGGTCTCTCGCTTCCATACTAACTCGACTGATACTGTAATTCAACTGCGGGACGATCTCGTTTGTCTATTACCAGTAGTATTGACGGTGTAACAAGTTTGGTTATCTAAGTCGCACGGTGATACCACACAAGGGTGTCTCTTGACGACAGTTGGTTCGCTTCTATTAATCGTAGTACAGCGCGACGTATGCCAACGATACGCTGTGTTCAAAGCAGCAGCCACCAGTGTTTTGCGTGGATGCCAACCCATATGGGAGAAAACCAAGGTTTTCGTAATCCTGTTTAAGATGTTTTGCAGTTTTTCGAGCTGCCTCTAGCAGCAATATTAGGAGAGCTTATGTCCCTCCAGCCTTACCTTGTGTTAATAAAACTCAAATTTCTTAATCATGATAACTGGATGTTGATTTTCAGGGTGAGTGAGTCCCGCAGGGAAAAAGAAACATTTTCAATTAATATAACAGAGGTGTAGAAGCAACAAGTGTTTTGCGTGTGAGGGAACCGGAAGTAGATTACGCGCCAATGGGCACGTACATACAGAATCGTTGCTGTACAAATTCGGAAACAAGACAGGTAGAGTATAACTTTGGAAATGTGAAAGACTTTCGATAAACAGAGATTTGATCCGGAGAATATACACTCAACCCATGCGTCCGCCGAATCCTCCACCGGTTTGCAATTGGCGCATCATGTTCTGGAGGCCAGCCATGCCTCCCATTTGCTGCAAGATTCGTGGATCCAGTACTTTGGCCATGGACTGGTTTAATTTTGCCATTTGGCCGGCACTAACTGAGCGAGAAGCAGCAGCCATTTCACCCAAGCTGGGAGTATTTCCGCTAGTGCTTCCACCAGGTGCTCCGGTGGGCAACATTCCCCCCCGGGGGCCCGGTTGGAATAATCCCTTGATGCCTCCCATCTTTTTGACAACCATGTAAAACTTATTATGTTGCGTCAGGAGGAGTTTGACCTCCGCTTGGCTAACTCCAGCACCACGTGCAACCCGGAGTGTGCGCCCCGGCTGTCGGTTGAACAGGCGTCCTCCTTCGTCAGAATCGAGCTCATAATCATTCATACTGTCCATAATAGTCATCAGTCGTTTGAGACGCCGATGGCTTTCCTGAAGGAAAATAAGCCAGATATCAGGTCATATAACGAGGAGGAGTTGACGGTAAAACCATTGGACATTTCAACCACATCAACAGCATCACATCGTTACATGTCGCCGTGCATCGCTATATAATCATTAATAAACAGCAGCTTTGTACGGAATAAAATAATTGAAAGAGACCGAGCGTAACATATATATATATATATATATATATATATATATATATATATATATATATATACCGCTGGACATTCAGGACCAAATCATACACGCAATGTCAACATCCAACACTTGACCACAAACAGTGGATTCTCATGTGAAGGTAAGATGGCATCGGCGGAGCACCTTGCGATTTTAAGTACGTCGCGTCGTAATGAGTCTTAATTGGCAGACAACCAAGCATCAGACACAATTTAGACACTTAATCCGACTAGAGGACAGTGAGGGTAGCACTGTAGCTGGATAGGCGCCACTTCCTACAGTTTTGAGTCGAGCGCAGAGTATGTCATGTAGAGAATAACCTGGAAGGTGAAATCGACTAGCACAACCCAGTCTAGCCGCTATTGATTTTACAACCTGCCGCGGGATCAACTTTGCCCCCCCCCCTTTAGTCTCATGCCATCTTACATCCGATAAACAAAGCAGGACCGTTCGATAAGTGTCTAAACCAGTGCTCTAAAGAACTAACACGGTCATCGCTGCCCAGCATTCACCTGCGCACATCATCGCTTGTGCCGATCGACACCAGAAACGCTCCGTAGGTCCGCAGGTCGAACACGCCAAGTCTCACTTTGACAGACAACGACTGTCGCCGTAGTACTGTAAACACGCCTTTCTAGCTGGCCAGCCGAACAATCCTTGGTGCCAGCTGGGTGGTTCGGGTTAATCCTGTTCCAGCGAATGGTTCGGCGGCAGTATTTCAGGACGTGGTGGGTTTCCGCCTGGCAAGCGTTCTCTCTATAAAAAACACGTCTGCTTAACAACACTGCGACGTGAGGGATGTGGCTCGCAACTAAATAAAGTTACTGCCATACACACTCCACGGACGCCAGTCATCCAGTACAAAGATTCCCTTTCACTCCTCAAGCAGACGGCCTGACAGAACAAAATCATAACTTCTACAAACTCAAGAAACACTGCTGCAAAAATTTATATCGACATACGCACCACAGATCCAATATGCCACTGCTAACATTGCAACATTATTGTACCTTTGCCAATCATTTGTGTTGGTATTGCTATTTATTTATTTAGATATCGCAGATGAGGGAATGCAGTTTTAGCTCTCGGAATACGTGGTTTGACTTCAGCGGTAAAGTGCTCCGTGTTACTAATGAAACAACACTTTGCACCTTGAAGGTGCGAATTGTAAACTGAAGGGTGTGACCATTGCAAGCAGTTTATCATGGGGTATCATCTACCCTAAAGCGATTAGTGGCCGACCTTTCACCTATTGGCGAAACATCACGCCAAAGACATCCCCCGACCCGCTACTGAGATCAGAGAAACTTTCCTTTATGTACACCAAACCACAAGGTCTCCTGAACAAGCTTGCTGAGCTGCGGCCATGTCAAGCATCTACGCCTGGGACCTCATATTCGCAATTGAAACTTGGTTGCACTTAGAAATTATGGACGCCGACGTCGCGATACGTGGTATGTGTTGTACGAATCGATCGTCAGAACAAGGGCGGGTGGACGATCCGGAAATGCTGATGGTAGACCAACTCTAGTGTCTACGACTGAGACGCAACGACACTTGCTTTGTGGGAGTCGCTTACTGTCCTCCAATGTCCACTTCAGAGATGGACTCCCGCCCAACATTAGCCTTGCGAAGGGTCTTGCGACCACGATACAGTCATCTCAGGCGACTTCAGTATCCACGATCTGGAGGTTCCGGCATCCTCCAGTGAGCAATCCAAGGCCGACCTGCAAGAGCTTATTGCAAGCATTCCGCTCATCAGCCATGTCAGTCCACCCACCGGATTCAGAGCGGGGAATAAACCATCCGTGCTTAGGTTAGTAGTCACGAGCAAAGAGCTCACGATCGAGAAGTCAAAGAGGTAAAGCCAACTGGGGCTGAGTGATCAAGTAACCATAATTTACGACTATGTATGTTATACAGAATAGCCACAAGAACAAATTTGTTTATTTACGATGCACTTACAGAACTCATTGGGGAAGCCAATTAAGGGTTTTCGGATGACTGTTTCATTGATAGTGCTTGGATGGAGTTTGCTGAAAAGTGCAGCGATCTGATCATATCCGCATTGGTAAACAGGCACCTTCGCTCTGCAAGAGCACCATCATTCATTAGGAGCAGAACCTGAAAACGCGTGGCGGTAAGGGACGCAGCGTGATATGTGTACAGGGCGAACCCTAGCCCTGACAACTGGAACAACTACGTATTGCATCTAGTCAGCTTAACATACTTTTCCGTGAGGACAAATTACCACACAGGAAAGGTTTGTGCTAACAAGCTTTTGTACAAACATGTGAAGAGCCTCCGGAATATGAAGCGTGGTGTACTTCCACTTATCTCAGCAAACGGATGTGCTCATAGCGCTAAGGATGCAACCAGCGATGTACAACTACAATATGCTTTAACGCTCCAACACGCCACCAACATGTGTCACATATCAATCCCATTCCTCCAGACGCCAGTATTTACACACGTCACTTCTAGTTCAGCGCACCCATAGTTCCCCCGGAGTGGACAACATTCACCGAAAAGCACTGCGGGTGGCAGCTGCAAAGAGAGCTGACCAATTAACCCGATTCTTTCAAACCTGTCAGGGTGAACAGCAGCATACTAACGTGTGGAAGCAGAATGTCATTAGCTGTTCAAGACCCGGCAACTATTGTCCGGTGATTTTGCTCCCAGTGCTCTCAAAGGTGATGGAGTCGATTCTAACCGACGCAGCGATGTGCCATTTAGAAAGGTCTACCACCACAGCCGCGGAGCAATACGGATTCCGTCAGCATCAGTCGTGTACTACCAGTCTACTGACTGCGCATGGATGTTAGACCAAAATAGCCGATAGCGGGACTGGCACTGATGTCATCTACTTCGATTTTTCTAAAGCTTTCGACCGATTAGATCATCTCCAAAAGCTGCAAACATACGGAATCAGGAACCATATCCTTGGATGGACTGGGAATATCTTTCTTTTGCGGTGGCTGCAGGTTAGGGCTAGGGGCTCACTGTACTGCCCTGTTCCACAAGGATCAGTGGTCGAGCTACGCTTATTCTTGGTCTTCATCAATGATCTTGCGCGTCCTCGAGTCAAATTTCCAGATTTTTGCCGACGACGTCAAGATATGGCGGGTGATCAGTAATCAGGAAGATCACGATCTGCTGCGATGAGAATCAGGTCGTGCTTTCGAATGACCAAAACACTACTTTCTTTCAACGTGGATAAGTGTAAAACTTTACACGTAAGCCACAAGCCAACTCTCACTTATAGTCATCATTATCATCACCATTACACATTAGCTGGAGGTGAGAAAGATACTCCAACTATTATGCCGCAATACCAGCAGACAAGATATATGAAAAGCGAGATACTGAATAGTAAAGAACACAAAAACAAGTAACTTACGGCTTAGTAACATATTATGCTTCAAAAAAGAAGTCGTGGTTGGGGAGAGAAGATAAGAGCCATTAGGGTCAACCAGACGTGTTTACCGTCTTTCGGTCCCCAACCCGGCAGTCGAGAGACCAACCGACGCCAACTTCGAAGTTTTCATTCCTCTCGACCAAATCATCGCTTAGCCTCCCTTCCTCCTCTTCCAACCGCACCCCCGGCGCGCAAACAACGCGCGTCGCGGGAGTCGGTGTGCTGACATGCGCAACACGTGATCCAGCCATCGGAGCCTGGTGCGTGATATAACAGTGCTGAGCTGTTCGCTCGCTCTTCCTGCATCAAATACGCGACGGCGAACACATTCATTGTTCATGCGGTGTTCCCACCAAATATCAGCTACGCTGCGAAGGCAGCGATGACTGAACGTCTTGATGGGCCTCGTTTCACAACCTTACAAGAGGGTTGAACGGACGGCTTCAATGTAAACTCTGCCCTTCAGGGCGAAAGCGATGTCATGCCGGCGCCACAGGTGGCGTGCATTGACAAAAGCGCCCCGAGCTTTTGCTATACGGTTCGTGATCTCATCTACCTCTCAACTGGTGCTGATATAGCTGCGTAGATACATGAATTTTCGACTACTTCTAGCTGATCAGCACCTAGGATCAAGGAAGGGGTGGGTCCCTGCCAATCTTGGGGAAGAACTTTGCATTTCGACGGTGCAAAGCATAGTCCGAAACGACTGACAGCCAATACTAATTTGTCCAGTGCTACTTGGCACGTTTGTGAGCTGTCGCAGGTAAGGGCAATATTTTTGGCGTACTTGAAGCCAAGAAGCCTTTTAGCTGGGAGCATCTCCACGGCTTGCAGATGGTGTCCAGTGAACGCAACATCTATGACTTCGTCGAAGAAATGGTTATGGTTTGGAGATGACACCATCAGGAGCGCGACCGTGGTGTGGTGATGAAAGATGACCTCGGCTGTTCGGAACAAACCATGAAGGCATCCAAAATCGCGAATTAACGTGTTAGTCTCTTATGGAGGGCTTTCGGGCGGTTCGACTTCTCCATGTTTCCGCAAATGCTCGACGCGTATGTGAGGCCCCATGTAGAGTACGCAATTCACGTCTAGCAACCCTGGCTAAAACGCGATCTGGTTGCAATGGAGACCCTACAGCGAAGGGCAACCAAAAATGTGAAGGGATTGTTCACCTGCCATACCAACTACGACTAAAATCCCTGGCGGTATACAATGGTAGTTATCGTCGTCTACGTGGTGACGTCATTTTGGTATATCAGATTTTGAAAAACCCTATTCACTGCCAACTTTTTAACCTTTGCCGTACTCGTCGAATTCAATAGCCGACCTACCTTTCTGTTATATTCTATTTTCTCGTCTATTGCGATTTGTTTTATTTCCGAACAGT